TGAACTGGAATGCCTTTGCGCTGAGGATTACTGGAATAGGATGCCTCTGAGCACTTAATTCTGGGAGCTGGGTTTGCAGATCCATGGACCTTAAGCTGACTGTTTTTGTTTTGAGACTTGTAGCTGAGTGGCATGCCCTTTGACACTAATAGGAATGTTTCTAATAATGTAGATTAGTATGAGTGATACATTTTAAAAGAACTCAATGGATTTCCTTGTTGGTGTTGTTTGTTTGTTATTGTTTTTTTCTGCATTGCAAGTGTTTTACCTTCACCTGGTGTGATATTATCCATCTTCTTACAGGTTTCCACTTTTGCAAAGGTTCTAGCTTTCACAGCTTTTATGGTAAAATTTCTCAGTGCTATAAATAATTTACCTTATTTACTGTTCTGTTCTGAATTTTTATGTCTTTTTCCCTACTGCAACTATTTGACATTTTTTTATCAGCTATTTTTGGAGGTAAAAAGATTTTGATAGGTTGAGATAAACTCAAACCAGACTCAGTGTTATGGAGTCCATTCTGACTCATGACAAGCCTGTCAGACAAGGTAGCACTGCCTCTGTGCGTTTCCAAGACAAGCTTTTATGAGCCTAGAAAGCCACATCTTTGTCCCCCACAGTGACTGGGGGTTTGTCCCTGCTAGACGTGAAGTTAGCAGCACACTGAGTAACCCACTCTGCTATCAGGCCTCTTCTAAGTTGAGCTAGCATAGTTAATACTCTATTTTATGTTGTTAAGTTGTTGAGTTGGCTTCAACTGAGAGAGACCCTGCGCATAAGAGATCGAAACGTGGGCATCTTCACAACTGTCACTGTGTTTGCGCCTTTTGTCGCACTTCCTGTGTCAATCCGTCTCATCGAGGGTCTTCTTTTTCGAGTTAGCAGCATCAAGTCCTTTGCCAGGAATTAGTCCCTCCTGATAACAGGTTCAGAGTACATGAGGCATTCTTACTAAGCACGCTTCTAAGGGACATTCTGGCTGTAATTCCTCCACGACAGAATTGTTCATTCTTCTGGCACTCCATCATACTTTCTAAATGTATTATTTCTTATCTGCTCTTTCTTATTCATTGTTCAGCCATCACATGCATATGAGATGATTGAAAACGCCACGGCTTCTGTCAGGTGCACCTTAGTCCTTAACTCCGTTTGTTCAGAACTGGTGTATTGTGTTTCATATTACATCACATCTCGAATCATAGCATATTCTAACCCTTAGTGATGCTGATAGTGATCAATGATGACAACTTGATGTCCCCATTTCAAAGGTTACATTAATGTGTTATCTAATGGTTTTATTCATTGCACATTAGTGCCTAACTCAATTCCTTCATAGTATTGGGTTAAAAAAATGAAGGCATAGTCAAGGAAAAATTATAATTTAAGAAAGTTCAAATAACGCTAGCAGCAATGGACTTGATAGGTAAGAGAGGGTGGAATCTAGTGATGGCATGTAATCTTAGCTAGAGTTGTTATTCTTGTTGCTAGGTGCCGTAGTAACCCTGTGTACAACAGAACAGAGCACTACCTGGTCCCGTGCCATCCTTGTCATTGTCCCTCTTCTTGCCAACCTACTTATTTCCAAGGAGCATTCTGGCTGTACTTCTCCCAAAACAGATGGAATCGGAATAATTGAACTTATTCATGATTATGTAGGTAACATCATAGAGAGAATATGTTTTCATAATTTGTTCTCAAAATATTACTATGAAATTCACTTAATATTAAAAACATTTTAACATTTGATATTGCACATGAAATGAAAACTTTATGACACTTCAAAATGTATTACCTGCATCTGACACTAACCCTTTTGTAAGAGTTTTTAGAATTCCTCCTTTGTAATAGCAATTTAAATTTAGGTTATTGTATGGACCTGGATATTCACATTATACAAAATGTGAGCATGTTTGTTTACGTAACCAGTTTTGAACTTTTGTTGCAATTCTGCTGCAAAGAGAAGTAAATGCTACTCTTAAACAAATGAAATGATAAATAACTGGCAGTTTAGTTTAGACACTAATGGAGCCTAAAAGCCTTTAAAATGACAAGAAAGAGTAACTTTCGTGATTTATAGACTCATTTTTGTTACACAGTTTGCTCATATACCTGACAGTCTTTCCTTCTTGTGACTTCCTTCTAAAATTGATGGTTCTGTGTTATCTAAGTGAAAAGACCATTAGAGTCCCGTAGAAGAATAAGACAGCATCTCTTCTGTGGATTACAAGAATTCCCAGTGGTGGGTGTACAATCTCCTGTTTTCGTTCTTTCTGGTAGTGTGTCTAATGCAAGTGGTGTGATTTAATCCTCAAAGAATATGTACTGCAGCTGCAAACCTGTGAACTGTGTTGAAATTGTCTCATACATGCTATGTGAAATTTAGTTTTAAACAATCATTTCTTTATGGCTCAGTGATTTCCATCTACTAGTCTACACAATATCAAGAGTATTGGGATTACTGTGTGTCTGACATGATATGTATTGCATTAAACTAGAATCTCTTTATTTACTCAGTTCCTTGTATGATAAAAAATATATATCCTATTTATGTTTGACTGATTGCCTTGCTTGGTCTGACATCCTCAAAAGAGCTCTCTGTACTTGTCTTCAAAAGCAGGAATGAAATTTGATCCATGTTTTGTGTTGCCCGCTGACTTAGAGGAAAACACTTTGCATTATCTGCATTGATCAGTCCCTATCCTATTTTATTGAACAATTAATACAACCATGTAAAGACTCCCTGGAGCATCTCTGTGAACTAGATACTTTTACTCAAGAACCACAGCTACACATCCAGATAGACAAGGGGCTTGAAGGTTGATTAAGAGAAATGAGGGGAAAACTAAGACCTCAAATGCACATCACATTTTTCAGTTTCTGTCTAACCCTAGAAATGCAGGCTGTAAAAAGTCTCTATTAAAACGTTGTGTAAGCATTAGGAAACTTTCGGTTTCATTTGCACATTTATTATTTGTAACGTGAACATTTAGATTGTAACCATATAATTTCATTTTGTTTCTGTTCCTATTCCTATGTTCTAAGTCCTTTTGTAGAGTTAAGAATGATAATTTTTCCAGGTAATTTTAAAACTTCTAGAAAAAAATGACTCGTGTGGCAATCTTTAAAACACTATAAACGCCTATAATTTTGTCAATGAGGTTTCACAACACTGACCTCTAAGTTTTACAAAAACTCTAGAGTAGCTAGTAATTTTAAAACTATGGCACCAAAAAGACTTCTTCTACACCCTTGAAAGTTTTCACATTATTTTCAAACAAATATTTTATAAATTGGGAAGTGGCATCCTTTTAATTTGGGGGCATAAATATTTACTAAAGAAATACTTATTTTTGAGAAGCAAATTTATATATTGTGTCAGGACACTGAGAGTAAAAACTGCAGTTTATTACCAGGCGGCTGTGCTGGGATTCAAAATAGTCGGAAAAAGTAATTTGTTCTTACTATATTAAATTGTATTTGTGAAACACAATATTGGTTACAATACCTCTGAATTAAACCCATCCAATTTCATTTTAGTCATGTCTCACATCATATGTATATTTTATTCGTTATATATGAAACAAATACTGTTAATAATATCCTTATTACTTATTCATGATTTCAAATTCTACAAGCTATTTTTAATTTTAAGTTTTCATTTTAATAATCTGTCTTCTTTTAAAAACTGTATCAACAATAGAGAAAGGACTGATTCATTTATCCAACAAATATTTATTGTCCACCTACTATGTGCCAGGGAGCATTCTTCCTAAGCTTTGCATAAAAAAAGAAACCTCCCTTACATCAAGTCAACTCCAACTCTTTAGTGACCCTAGAGGACAGGATAAAACTTCCCTGTGGATTTCCCAGAAGGTAAGTCTTGGGGAGTAGTAGAAAGACTCATCTTTTTCCCACAGAGTGGTTGATGGTTTTCAATTATTAACAACTGCTAACCTTAAGGTTAGCAGGCCAAAGCATAACCACTTCACTGCTAGGGCTCCTCCACCAGCCTTTGCATATGCAGCACAGAAAAAAAGCGAAAGAATCCTGTCATCTAAAGCTTATATTCTAGTTGAAAAGTGAAATATAAAGGGAGGATATCAGGGAGTGGCTGTTTGCCACAAAAGAACAAAAAATGGGTAACTTGACCAGAGGATGGAGAAAATCCAGCAGTTGACCTATTCTGTAAAGTTCCATACTCTTTTCTGTACACCCTCTGACCTATCATATACACGCTTCCATAATTTTTCACACCATACGATATTAAATGGCTCAGTTTCTTGGTTTCAGCCTAAATAATAAGCTCTTTGAGAGTTGTATAGATCTTCATTTGTGCTTTACCACCATATTTGTTGACACTGTACCCAGTAAACATACACCAGCTCAGCAGTTTCTCCGGGTGAAATCAGTCACATTGATGACACTCCCTGACTTGTACAACCATTCTCACCCCCTTTTCTGAGTGGTTTTCCCCTGATGAACATACAGCCACTGACTTTAAGGTTCCTCTCTAATCTGTGAGTTGCTGTTTTATCCCTAATATCCCATACAAGTAGTTCTTAAAGCATAATGTTCAAGGCAGAGAATTTTTACAAGTTAAACGTAAGCTGGTGTATGGCTTTGCAAAAGGTTTCAGGGAATCTTTTGGGCTAACGTTTTAGATATTATCTCAGGTAATAGTTGCAGTAGTTCACTGAGCCTTATACCCAGTTAGTATTGGCTCTATGAAGGATTGAGTGAAATAATTCAGTATTCCATGAGATCGCGGGATTTGTTGAAATCCAAAGACACCACCTGAAACTAAAACAACTAAGGAAGAATGAATAAAAATAAGATTAAAAGAGCCATATGTGCATTAATTTTGTTTCAGTTGAAAATTTGAAAGTTCTAAATTTTCCATTGTTTGATTGATATAATTATATCATTCTACCTTTTCATTTCTTATTAATAGATGTGAATTAAATAAGGCATCTTTTCTGAAAATCTATTTTTATTCACAGGTACTACTGAACGAGTGTGCTTGATCCAGGGAACAGTTGAAGCACTGAATGCAGTTCATGGCTTCATTGCAGAAAAAATTCGAGAAATGCCCCAAAATGTGGCCAAGACAGAACCAGTCAGCATTCTACAACCCCAGACTACTGTTAATCCAGATCGCATCAAACAAGTGAGTGTTTAGTTGGAAATCAAAGAGAAATTTTCGCCACTTATTATGAATGCTTTATTAAGGAAACCTTAAGATTTTAATATACAAAGAGTTGTTATTTAGCTATTTAAATATTACTAAAATCGCCTAATTAATTTAGTAAATGATTGAATTAGTCGTTTATTAGTGTTTATTTGAGAACACTGTGTGACTCTATTAAAAACTAATTTGTAGGGGTTTAATTGATTTAATATTTTATTCCTTTATAAATACAGTATAACAATTAAAGTTTTTTATACTGTAGCTTTCAGTGTAGTATTATGAATATAACTCCTGTTTTGTTAATTTAATGGTCTATATTTTTATCAACAAATATGTATAAGTAAATCTGTGTATCTAGCAGTTCTGTGTTTAAATCAGCTATTATGTTTTGTGTCACTTCTGTAGTATTTGCATATTTGTCGTTAAAGGCTAATTTCTAATGTATGAGATTCTGTAACAAAAATTTTACTTAAAAAATTTGTGAATTTTTAAGATTGAGTAATGTCTGACATGATGTAGAAGAACATGAACTTTTTAATGTGAAATAAGATGGATTCTTCCCCATAGACTTTTAAATTATCAATTATTTGATACTTTATATTCATGATTATTGTTTCTACCTTTGTCCTTTTGCAATTAGTCTCTTAATTTGTGACCATTATCAATAGATTATGCCTTCAAAGAAATGTATTTTTTCATTAATTCCCAGAATATTTGATTTCTAAAATATTTGTTTATTGTAATAAATTTGAAATGTAGCTTAAAGTCTTATTAATTTCATGTTTCTGAATTGAAAACAAAATTTTTAAATAAACAGGTTTAATCTATTATAGTGCTACCAATTTATAGATAAGGATGGATGCTGACTAAGCAAATGTAAATATAGAAATTAATAATTAGGCTATATTTTTCAAACTTTATGCTAATAGTGTTTTCTAGGCATTGCCATTTTAAAAAATCCTTCCATGTCTATACCATAAGAATACAGCTTATTTTTCCATATCAAATCATTCCTCTTATACTCTGCCAGTGTCAGAATGTTTCATTTGTACCCCTTTTTAGCCTTTAACAAAGTGTCCCTTAATTTCTATATTAGGCTATTAATATTTTAAAGCACTAGGCATTATTGGGGTTTTTTTTGTCCTTCACCACTATTTGTACTTTTGAAAACACGATATTTAATTTTGCTAGGTGTGATAAGATTAAGAAATTCCATCCAAAGAATAATATAGACTGAGGCATTGAATATGATACAATGATGTGGTACACATTCAGGAGTTTAGTTAAAGAGACTTCTAGGTTAAAATTACCTGACTTACACAATCAGCATCACGATGTCCGTGGCTACATCTGCCATAATCTAACAGATTAATTTCTCCCTTACCTTTTATAACTTCTATGAGAGTGTTTGAACATCTTGATTTTTAAAAGTAAAATAAACATAAACATAAAATGTCATTTGAATCATATGATATTATTGCAATATCTTATGACAGATATGAATTTGTATCAGTGTTACAGTGTTACAGTAGCAAATAACTAGCAGTTGATGCCATACAAATCATTGCTAAAGTTTTCATTTTCTCTATGGCAATGTGGGAGTTGTAGGCTACAATGTACCTGGTGTTAGTCTAGATTTATGCAGACTGGAATTTAAGATGTTTTATTTTTATTTGCCTTGCTTAGATAATGTTATTAAGGTCATAATACATGATATAAAATTACAGTGAATGATTCTCTTTTGTGTGTTCGTATTCATTTTTAAGCCTTGTAGAATTTTTGAAATTAATAGAAAATTATTTGGGGAATTTAACATTTTATGTAATCAGCAATGTATGTGAAATATAGTATTTCCAAAGGAAGTTATCAGTAAGTATAATAAATCTAGTAGGGAAATATATTTAACACATGCACTTACTTCATAATGATAGACAATAAAAAATATTACTTGAAAATCTAAAGAGGCCAAACACATTTCTAAGGTGTTATAAATGAGGTTTTTTATTTTGACCCCTTAAGTTTGCTATTCAACAATTTGATAGGAATCCTACTCTACTAGTATAGTACTCTTTGCTGAATCATTCTCTAAATAATAGGTCAAGTATGTTAATGTAAAAGGCGGTGATTATATTTCTGAAGAAATGATGCTGATTATTCTGTGTATCAAATAATAATATATGAGATGGACCATTTTACTAAAAAATAGATGAGAAAGTATTTGATGTTTATCCAAAATTTTATATTTTTTTAATACATGGAATAATAGTTTTTCTTGTTGTTTCATGTTAATCTCTCCCTAACTAATGGGATAAGCATTGTATATTTACTTTCAACTTCAGTTCTGAAGATAAATTTATTCACTAGCAATTTTCTTCTAGATTACTCAAAGAGAAAGAAAAATCCAAGTTTTAAAAATGCTAGACCCAAGAAAAATAACTTATGTAAAAAGTGGATTCATGTTCAGAATTAAATTAAGCATTTGATCAGTGATTGTGTTTGCCTACTGTTTTTTATGACCATTATTAAAATTTTTGCTTATATTATTGTTTTAAAAGTATAATTTGCATGTAACTTGGATTTAAAATAGGAAATCAAATTTTTTTCTAAACAAATAATACTTGTTATAAAAGTTTAAATTTTACAACAATATACTTTTAAAGAAGATGTTATATTCTAAGTTTCATTATCTAGGTAAAGTTGGTAACTAAATAAAATTGGATAAACCAAATTTTCTTTCCCAAATGATACCTACTCTTATTCATGACTAGGTTCTCAAAGATGTATAGGAGTCCTGGAAGTGTAGTGGGTTATGTACTGGGTACTAAACCACAAGGTGAGCGGTTGGAAACCATTAGCCACTCCTCAGGAATAAGATGAAGCTTTCTACTCCCATGAAGATTTATAGACTCAGATCCCAAAGGGGGCAATTCTGTTCTGTCAATTGGGTCCTTGTGAGTCGGAAATGACTCAATGGCTGTGAGGTGTGTTTTGTTTTGTTTTAATTTTTAGGTAAAGTTGGTAACTGAATAAATTATATGAACAAAAATATTCTACCAAATGATATTCTTATTGATGACTATGCTCTCAAACCAGTATCGTTTCTTAAATAAAATTAACCTATAATGGTATCACCATTCTTTCAAAATAGTACGATAGTATAATGTAGCTTGACAACCTTCTATTCAACTTAAACATTAGATGTAGTGAACGAGTCCATTATTAATTTGTAAGCATCTTTTTACGAAAATCTTTATTATGAAAGAAGTGTCTAATGACATTTAAAATATTATCATGTAAAAGTCAAATTAAGATAGAAAAATAATTCTATATAGCCCCCAAATTTTTGTCATTAAAAATGAACAAAATAGCCATTGTAGTTATTAACTTATTTATTTTATTCATTAAGTTGTGAATTTATTAAATGACTTCTTCAGGAATTACTTAGATTGGATGCAAATGATAGCTCTTGTTCTCTAAGGCTAGTTTATTAGGGACCCTACATTCTTTTTTTTTTTTTTTAAATCAATGTATTGGGGCTCATACAATTCATCACAATACATAGATCAATTGTGTAAAGCACATCTACACATTTGTTGTCCTCATTAAGGGACCCTACATTCTTAAACTGATATTTTAAATACAAAACTACAAATAGCCTAGAACAACAACATAAGCAATGCACTACTGTAGTTAAAATAAAACAACAACTCAAACTCACTGCCATCGAGGGGCTTCTGACTCATGGTGACTTTAGAGAGCATTGTAGATTGTTCGGTGGGTTTTCGAGACTGTAGCCCTTACTGAAGTACACAGCCTCATCTTTGTTCGTGGAGCAGCTGCTGGTCTTGAATTGCTGACCTTATGGTTAGCAGCCCAGTGCATAACCACTGTACACCAGGACTGCTACTGCAGTAGTAAAAAGTTGTGTAAAAGAAATGTAGACTGGAGTGATAGATAATAGTCTCCTAAAATAGGCAGAGACTGGAACGGGACTTGGAAGCTCTGTAAGAATTGCCGAAATAGAGGAGAAGAAAGGAAATCAATGAAACAATAAGGGTACCTCTCTGTTCTGCATTGGAATTGAATCGATGGCAGTGAGTTTGTTTCCGGAAGGAGGGATCTGTTCAGCATTTAGAAAACTATGTGGACAGAAATAGAACACTGCTGTTGGAGTTAGAAAAAAATGTTAGCATGGGCAGGGTGGGGCTACATATTAGCCTTGGAAGCTCAGCTAAGGCATATTCTATAGACTACAAGTCTCATAATATTTGCCAAAAGAGTCCTCTTAGTTTCTGTGGATGATTGTGAAGGAAGGGGGGGAAGGAGTGGGAGTGCCTCTGTAAGTTTTTTTCTTAAATACAAAATCAAGACATATGCTTAGGGTACTTGTAGATTCTGTTGGCAGGAATTAGCTATCTTTTATGCACTTTTTCGGGATCCATTCCAAAACTGGTTCTATATAATACTTATTAATTCAAGGGGAAATTAATTTTTATCAGGCCAAAAAAGCGATTGTAGGAATGCTAGGGTAATAACAGTAGTAGTGCAATAATGGTAGTTGTAGTAATAGCAGTAGAATAGTGTGTGTAGAGAAAATGTCCACTTATTCTGTGTTGGTTAGTATGTTAAACACATGTGCTATCACATTGTGTCTTCATGAAAACCTTATGAGGAAAGTACAGATTCCATGTTGCGTTTGTAGGAATGGTGGGTAGAAAAATTTGATTATTTGTCCACGTTAATGCAATTGGTATTTGAACTGAAAATGAAGCTTTATGGCCCCCAAGTTTGAAGATGCTCATTCACTGCCATCAAATTGTTTCTGACTCATAGTGACCCTGTAGGACAGTGGTACCTAACCTGTGGGTCATGAGCCCTTTGTGGGTCAAACGACCCTTTCCCAGGGGTTGCCTGATTTATAACAGTAGCAAAATGACAGTTATGAAGTAGCAAAAAAAATAATTTTGTGGTCGGGGGGG